GTGCCTTTCCTCTGAAGGTACCCTCCCCAATAATCGGAGTGTGATTTGCAATCAAACGGTAAGATAAAGATTGGCCACTCATTTCTGTGCGACAAATTATAAGTGTTGCACACCATTTATTCACCGCGCGTTCATTTCAATTTGGTATTTTACTCTGTTTGTAGTTAATTTATTTGCAATACTATTGTAAAGTTCAAATGGCTTTTTCCACGCTGGGGTTTTTATGCCGGCTGAATGATTAAATAAGCCTAATTTATTATAATAAAACTCCTGTTGTTGTTATTGCCTTTAGAGCGCACCTGTCTGCAGTAGCCTCATCCCTTTCCTTCATCTTCTCAAATATTCAACTCAGTATAAAAGATAACAACTTTGAGCAATAAGGTTAATTATTTTCCTGTAATAGTTCTTCCACTCTGAAAATAATCGATTAATATTATACCACTTGAGTCCTAACAAATTGTAGCCATGATGGTATAATAGATGCCATGTAGGTGGATAATAACGAATCCATGTTTCAAAACAGTAACGTAGCATCGCAAAAACTCCTCTGGATTACGTTGAAACCTGCTCAAACATTGCTTAGACGAGTTCCTTTGCTATCAGTTGTGAGGAAGCGTGGAACCTATCTTGCAAACAACTGCTTCATGCCCAAACATTCATGTAAAATGTTCCATGTGCATCATACTGAAATGTTAAGAGACTTACTAATCTCACGCACTTACAATCGATAATTGGTGAGTACAATATCATGAACTTTCTCAATAATGTCTTGAGTAGTTACCTTGTGGAGGTTGGGTGAGCGGGAGTAAGCAAGATAATTATTCAATTTTATGACAAATGCTTTATTATGGATACACGGATGAAGACCGCACGCGCGCTCAAGCCAGTCAAGCAAAGTTGCCTGAACCGAAGCTGAGCTCAGAGTGACCAATTTTTTCTTTACTTTTTCTCGTCCTAGCTTATCCATTTCCTCTCCCCTTTTCCTTCACAGTCGTAGGTGTGGCCATAGAACCGAATGGACAGTACGCACCCACGTGTGCTCATCTTTCTCCTTTTAACGTCATCTGTCGCGTTCTCTCCTCCAGGCTTGCTCGTGAGCTGCCCAAACAACCTCGGTTATGCCTTATGCAATTTCCGAGCTGTGCGACCATCTCCAGGGGTCTGAAGTCAATTCAGCCTCGGAGATGATCTCCGAGTTGCGGGGCTCACCGCCCTGGCTGCAACTATGCAGCAGCCATGCTGGTCATGACGAGCAAGAGCACGGAGGAAACGCACAACTCCTTATGAGTTGCTAATTGTTAAGCCTGTGTTTCCATTATTTAAGCAAATATCATCATACAATATAAAAACACGCAAAAATTGTATACTGTTATGTCAGATTGAAAACAAAATCAACTAACCATAAGTTTCTCAATATCCATATACATAATAAGAGGTTTAATCTCATTTGTCTCTCTCTTCCAATAACCTGCATATTATACATGTATTATTACATGATATATGTATTTACATCTTTTTCTTTCATGAACAGTCGATAAGGTAAATAAGAGAGAGAGAGAGAGATAGATAGATAAGCTTTATTGAGCCGTGGGGTATAACCCCGTAGGCTATGAGCAGAATACAAAGCAGATACAATAAGTTAGAGCGCAGTAATAGGCGATGAGATTATACAACTAAATATTAATTTAAGATGAACATAGGTTAAGCATAACAATTAAAGAGTATGAGTGTGAGATTATGACGCATACATAGAAATAAAAATGATACAATATTCGCATGAGGTGGAAAGGATAGAAATAAATTGATTTAGAACAGGTTAAGAGACAAGATAGGTTAGATCACAAGTCGAGGCGTATAAGATGGAATAGGATGAGTTTAAGTGACTAGTTGTGAACAGGCAAACATAATACAATACATTATGCTCAAGAGGCCAGAATAAGTGCTAAATAAGATCACCGGTCAAAGAGGGTAACTGGAGCCAGCGAACAAATTAATAAACATGGTGGTCAAGTAAATTCAAATTAAGAATTAATTCGTAAAGCCTAGAGAAATGAAAAAGTGACAGTGAAAGTAGATTGTGGATCAAAAGAGGAAGTAAGGGTGGGTGTTACATCGAGGAAATGAATGGGGGAAAATTGCAGACCAGGTAACGACCAGGTGATAGGACGTACTCTGATGATGAAGTGAAGGCGGAGACGTTGAAGGGAAGAGAGAGAGAGAGAGAGAGAGAGAGAGAGAGGGAGAGAGAGAGACAGGGAGAGACAGAGCGCGACTGGTTGAAGAAAAGAAGATAATTCTTTCCACGTCAATTGAAGTTGTTAAGTTGAGCCTTGAGCACGCATCCGTAGTTGTCCGCGCTATATGCAATTTTTTTGTATCGAAAAAGCTGAGTTACGTTTTACAGACAACTTTTGTTTTCTCGCTAGTACTTCGCTTGAGATCTTGGTAATTGTCGCTGGTGAGAGCTTGTGAATATTGCTACGTGCGTGCTAGCTCTCGTGTCGTTCACCCTTCAGCTTGTACTCGACACCGCGACCGGTCACCTACATCGTGGACCGGTCGGTGAGATTATTTTCCTCAAGGCTGTGTTTTCGCTATCACTATAAGAATCAGCCCGTTACTTAGCTCTCTCTGTTTTCGCAGTGCATATTCTCTCTTATACGCTGCTGATATGTAAGCTTTTTTCACTGCCAAAAATGTAAGACATTTCATGTATTTGTATTTCTATCTTGTAATACACATGACCAAACTTGCAGTTGTTGAATTGACTATAACAAGAATTGATTAAATATAATTATTAACTTTAAAAAAATAAACTTATTGAAAGTGAGTGATATTTTTCAAGAATGCAGTGATCTGTTCGAGTGGTCGAATATAAAAAAATAACAGATTTTCTTCGTCCAAAACAGTTTAACGCAAATAGATTGAAGGATTTCAAAACACTCAGTGCGCATAAAGCTATTCTAGCTATCGGCAAGATAATTTCACATATTTGAGGTTAAAAAAACAATAGTTTGAACAGCCAACTTGTTAGGAAAGAGATAATAATTGTAAAATATTACTGACATAAATTCCAGTTTATCAAATATAATTTTTAACGTCTCTATTTTTAGATTTGCTGGTCTTTTGAATCTTACATTCACAATAATACATACACTTCAAACGCCGTATGGTATCTCCATAACAAATTTAATACACGGCATACTCCATCTACTCAGCATTCAATCACTCATACAAGGGTCGTTCAATAAGTTTGTGACTTTTCGGAAGATGATGATACTATCATAACGTATTATACACTTTAAGATAGTGCCATCAAGTATAAATACGTACACAAAGTTTGAAGTCATTATGTTGGTTTGGAAATTTTTTACAGTCGTTTGAATTTAGTTGTTCATAGTGTAGACAAAATCATTGAGAAAAAATAGTTTCATATGCTTATTAAACATTATTTTCTACGGTAAAAATTAATCAAAAGAACCGAAGAAAAGTTTAAGAAATATTATGGAGACTCTGCTCAATCGCATGACATGGTTCAGAAAAGGGTATACTATATTTCGTCGTGTCCGTAAGAGCACAAACGATGCTGATCGCCCTTGCCGTCTAAAAGAGGTGACTACTTCAAACATAATCGATAAAGTTCATGATATTGCACTCGCCGATCGTCGATTGAAAGTGCATAATATTCGTGAGGTTCTTAACATTTCAGTCGGATGCACGTGGAACATTTTATGTGAATGTTTTGATATGAGAAAGTTGTCTGCAAGATAAGTGCTGCGCTTGCTTACAGCTGATAACAAGCGAGCTCGTGTGGTTGCATCTGAGTAATGTTTGAGCAAGTTTCAATGTAATCTAAAGGAGTTTGTACGACGCTACGTTACTCTTGATAAATCATGGAATCATTATTATACGCTAGAAACAAAAAATTAGTCGAAAATCTGGACTGAGCCAGATGAATCTATGCCGAAAAAAGCAAAGACGATATGATCAGCCAGAAAAATCATGGCTACAATTTTTTAAGACTCAAGTGGTATAATATTAATCGATTACTTATAAAGTAGCAGAACTATTACAGGAAAATATTATGCCTTATTATTAGACCAATTTAATCCCTTACTGAAGGAAAAGCAGCCCCATCTGGTTAAAAAAACGTTCTTTTCCACCACAACAATGCACCAGCTCACACAAGTTCCATTGCAATGGCTAAATTATTTGATTTACTACGAAATACTTTCTCATCCATCTTACTCTCCAGATCTGGCCTTTTCCGATTTATTTTGTTTTCTGAAATGAAAATTTGGCTTGCGGGTAAAAGATTTTCATCCAACGAAGAGGTAATTGCTGAGACAAATGAGCGTTTTCAGAAGCTTGATGAAATTTGTTGGTTTTGAAGTAATTGTGTATGCTATATAAAGAGTGTATCTATATATTGTATACAAGCGAGTATGAGTATGAGGATGCGCACGCAGCGACGTATGTATGTGTAAATAGAGCGCGAGCAGTTTAGTTAGTCTGCCACGTTGCCCTAGAGCGAGCGCATCTCGTAATGGCTCTTATATATATATATATATATATATATATATATATATATACATTACGTAATGAAACGTAACTTAAAATAAAAATACTTAACATTGTAGTTATATAATAAATTCTAAATCGTTTATTATTTAAAGTATGAAACATTAAATTAATTAAGATTTATTTATCGATCCTGCATAACAATATTTAACAAAATTACTTTTCAGAGGTCATTAAAAAGCTTGAGCACCACTTTATTAAATATATAGATTTAAAAAGAAACTACGTTAAAAAATAAATTGGAATAATTTAAATAAATAGTATTTTTTTTATTTAAAGTCACGGATTTATAGAACAACCCTCGACATTGTATTATTCATTAACAAAATAATTAACGAAAATGGTAATTTATAAAATTCAAACAGCTAATAAAAACTATTATACATTATTACTAAATGGCAATATTGATTATAACTTACATTTTGTTGAAGACGGATTTTATAGATTATATTATTATCAATGAGCATAGACGTTTATCTTGATTACTGTATATTCATCTGCGTTGCTCACGTCGTGAGTTATTAATGAATAGGATGAATTATCAGTTTCATTGGCATCTAAATACTTTTAATAGCAGTTGAATCATTATATAAATTGATCACAAAACAAGTATCTTCCAATGCTTGCTGAAAATGAAATATAAGTTTTATATTCATAAAAAAATAATGTACTTCAAAAGTAAGTTAAATAGACCAAAAATATTCCAATATTTACCTTTAAATTATTTTCAACTTTTTCGATTAACCCATTAACGCTTAAAGAACGATTTGTTGAGAGCTGAGTTCAAATTATTATCGCGTAATAAATTTGAAGAGAAAAAATCCAGGAATCAATGTTCCCGAAGTTTTCAAGGGTATTCTTTCCTATAGCATTAGATAAAAATCTCGGCAAAAAAGTTTCGCCATCGAAAAATCAAAAATAATTAAATAAAGTTTAATTGTTCGATTGAATTTTTTTTCAAATAGAATTTTCGATCCCATAACATTTTTTAAATGCTTAAAACATCTTTATATCATGACCTCGATGTCTAAAATAAATATTAATAAATTTGCCTGAACAGAAAAATTTATTGTTAAATGAAAGTGTCGGTAAATATGAAATTTTTTTTTGGAAATGTTACGAATTTTTTCCTCAAAAACTATAGATTTGTGTAGAACTTTCCTAGGAACAAATTTATCTTAAACCTTATAACGAAAGGCTTGTAGTTCGTTATGTCTCTCTTTCTCTCTACAAAACCAATAATAACTATATTTATAATATTACGATGTACGAGTATTTCTTCATATAAGATGTTTACAGTACATGTGTCACCAAGCTGGTAAGTGACACGTCAATCGTTCCGTAGTCGATTGTGAACGCACGATGCGGAGCTCGCAGAAATGCGATTGTCTCGAGGAGAGAGAAAGAGATAATAGGCGCGATCAGAATTAATTAGTTTTCAATCGGCAACAGGCGTACACCTTGTCAGGACGGCGGATGGTTGAAGAGTGACGCTAATGCATAGAAGCGATGACAGGTGAAAAACAGCCACGCGCGCAACTAGCAACATTAGCAGTGATCATCGGGAACCCCAGCATGCGCTAATAGACAAAATCGCAAGAGAGGAAACGTATACGCAGGCGAGGCTATTCTCGTGAAGCGAGTACACTGTTGTATTTCTGCGAATTTAGCGGGCGATCAGCACTGTAAGTACTAGCTTATTATTTGGCTTTCTCTCTTTCTCTCTCTCCCTCTCTCTCTTTCTCTCTCTCTCTCTCTCTCTCTCTCTCTCACTTTCTTTCTTCTCACGCTTGCTTTGTTTATTTTTTTTATTTGCCTGTTACTACGTCTACCGCATTATACAGGGTGTCCCATTTTAACTTTCACAGCTGAATATCTCGGAAACAAGCTCTGAAAGTTAAAAAATGATTCATATGAAGGTTGTTCAGGATCGAGGGGGCCATGTGCTGATGAACTTGGATTTGACCTTGAACAGGACCCGTCAAGGTCATTTCAAAATCAATGTTGTTTTTGAATAGGAACCCCTATTTTTGACCACGGATTCGGATTTCTCGTGAAATTCTACGTTTAGATCATGTGTGGGGTCCTGGGGCCGCCCATCCGCCAATTGCCCCCCCCCCCCAAAGGTTATTTCCAGGTCGATGTTGTTTCTTCAATGGAAACCCCCATTTTTTATTACGGATTTGGGCTCCTTTAGTAAATTTAGTTTAGTTAAATTTTAGTTACTCATTTAGTTTAGAAACTTCGATAATACAGATGCTACAATTGTCAGAAGTCTTATTTTTTTTAGAGATCGTTGAACAGTTATTAAAAGCTTTGGAAAAGTTTTCTTGTAGTTCATTAGAAAAATTATTCGTATCACTTGTTGTCTCTTCAATTTTCAAACCGTATATTTTGTAATTTTTCGCTTGTTTTTGCTTCAGTATAAGAATAGATAAGTTGTCTCTTTTTTTGAAGAACATACCTTACAACATTAGTATTTGACAGATAATGCGTTTTATGTAAGAGCGACACTGGATATTTTAACTGGCAGATGATTTCATTGTTAAATTCTTCAATACAGGCCGATGTATCTAGTAGAAAATCACAATCAGTATCATCAACTTGCATTTCTTCGGGTTGATCTGCTTGTTGTTCATTGTAATCATCTAGCTCTGTTGAGTTGTGGTCATTCACAATACGTTTGTAGCAATTGCTACATACACTAACAGTCGCATAAATTTCATCATTCTGGAGCTTTATTTGCAAATAGTTAGCATAATCACCAATTTTTTGAAATTTTACACTTCTACACTGATACACGTTCTTTTCGTGAATATTGAAATAGTCTGGGTACTTCAATCTCATTGCAGAATAAAGACCTGCCATGTTGACAACAAGACAATCAAGCTTACACTAACGCTGAATTCTATAGAAGCGGTGAATATTTACATACGTCGGGGTCTCTATTCGGTTATGTATTCGGTCATCTGTGTTTATGAAGTACGTACGTAAGTAATTAACAAATGACCGAATGAAAGAATGTCTTTTTGATTAAGCAGATATTAACATCGAAATAATTGTTTTCCAATTTACTTACATAGGCGCTAATATGAATTGCTGAATAATTTATTGTGTTTGACGCGAAAATGAATTTTTTCTTTATTTTAATTTTTTAAGCGATCTGAGGGAAAAACACCAAATTTAGAATACATAGATTTATAGGTCCTGGTACAAAGAATCTACAAAAAAAATTTAAAAGAAAAAAAAGATGGCCTTTTTGAGATAAACAGTTTTTTTTAAAGATGCACTGTTTGAAAAAATACATTTTATGCCGAAAAATGCATTTATGCACATTTTTAATAATGTAGACTTAAAGAGCTTCATTTCCGCTATAAGTAACATAAAAATTATTTTACCGTTCCGAATAATAAAAGAAATATTGAATAACCAAAATACAATCAAAAAATTTTACTCAAGTTTCTCTTTTCAGCAATGCATTTTCCGATTGCATAATTGACGCAAATATGAATCTGAGAGAAAAATAAAAAATATGGGTGTTCTTATTTTTGACCTAGAATAATAAAATAATACTTTGCAGTAGCTTCGTGACAGGTCTGCATGAAGCTCTGCATAATGTGAGATGGAATAGGCCAGCTACTAGTAAAAGCTTTATTGACTTGCTTTAACTGATTGGATCCCTATACAATCTTGCCTTAACTGGTTGGATCTCTACACGATCTTGCCTTAACTGGCTGGATCTCTACACGATCCTGCCTTAACTAGCTAGGTCTTTAAACATACAAACCCTTTCCTAGGAGCTGTAAGACCTTACAGATGGGGGGTATGCTTAAGCTATAAATTTAAGTAGCTAAGGGCCAGTTTTAACTATGTGAGTTCATACGAGTACGTTATCGAGCCACGTAGACGCTTAAATCAGTGTAGACCAAAAAACAGCCTAAAATATACTAGAAAGTTGAAAATAAGGGTATCAAAGATTCATCATTTATTTACGAAGCATCGTCTGAACGTAGAATTGTATGCAGAATTTGAATCTCCAGACAAAGATACGGATTCCAATTGAAAACGCAACTGACCTTGAAATGATCTGGGAGAGGGGGTTATTGGAGAGATTGTCCGTACCCCATACATGTAGCTTTATCTGAACGTAGATTTTGACAAGGAACCTAAATTGTTAGTAAAAAATAGGGGTTTTCATTGAAAAAACAACATTGACCTGAAAATAACCTTCTGAGGGAAAGGAAATTGGCGGGTGGGCGGCCCCAGGACCCCACACATACGAGGGTGGTCCGATAAGTACTTAGCCTCACCGCCCGATGGCGCCACTCTCGCAAAAGAAATATTCTATCACGTAGTACAACCTTCTCGATGGTTATTGTCAAGATTTCAGCCGGATCGGAGTTGTAGTTTACTTTTGGGAGCGTGTGAAAGCAAGTGTGTCCGTTGATTTTTGAAAAATGGAAAAAGAGCAGTATCGGTCGGTGATTCGATTCTTGTTTTTGGAAGGGAAATCGCGCAGCAAAATCAAAAAGCGCTTGGATGCTGTGTACGGTGACTCTTCTCCTTCAATGGCGATCGTCAAAAATTGGTTTAACGAGTTTCAACGTGGTCGCACGTCGATTTTTGAAGAGCCACGTCCAGGTGCTCCGAAAACGGCTACCACGGAGGATAACGTGACAAAAATTCACGATCTCGTATTGGCAGATCGACGATTGAAGGTGGGCGAGATAGCTAAGATCGTAGGCATCTCAAAAGACCGTGTGGGTCATGTCCTGCATGAAATTTTGGGCATGAGAAAGCTGTCGGCGCGATGAGTGCCGCGTTTGCTCACTCCGGACAACAAGCGCAACCGTGAGACAACTTCAGAGCAATGTCTGACGCTGTTTAAGCGCAATCCGAAGGAGTTTCTGCGTCGCTTCGTGATAGTCGACGAAACATGGATCCACTGGTATACACCAGAGACCAAGGAACAGTCGAAACAGTGGACTTTACCCGGTGAAAGTGCTCCGAAGAAGGCGAAGACTGCCCCATCGGCCGGAAAGGTGATGGCCACCGTTTTCTGGGATTCACAAGGTGTGATCTACATCGACTACCTGGAGAGGGTCGAAACGGTCACAGGGCTCTACTAAGCCGAATTATTGGGCCGATTCGACGTTGAATTGCAGAAAAAACGGCCCCATTTGGCGAAGAAAAAAGTGCTCTTCCACCATGACAACGCACCGGCTCACACCTCCGCCGTCGCCATCGCTAAATTGGTTGTATTAAGCTACGAACTGCTGCCCCATCCACCGTATTCTCCAGATTTAGCCCCGTGCGACTTCTTTTTGTTTCCAAACTTGAAAAAGTCACTCGCCGGGCAGAAATTTGAGTCGAATGAGAAGGTAATCGCTGTCACGGAAGCCTACTTTGCAGACCTCGAGGAAACGTACTTTTCAGACGGGTTAAAGAAGTTGGAGCATTGCTGGGACAAGTGTATCGAACTAAAAGGAGACTATGTTGAAAAATAAAACGCCACTTTTCCAAAATTTTCGTTTTTCTTTTGTAGGCTAAGTACTTATCGGACCACCCTCGTATTACATGATCTGAACGTAGAATTTCACGAGAAATCCGAATCCGTGGTTAAAAA